TGTCCCACAAATGGTGTACCAAGGCATACCTGCAGGCAAGAATGCAGACCGATCGAAATGAACCAGATAACGAAAACCCGTGCGTCACCTCTGCTTCGCAGAGGTTCGCACTGGCTCTACTATCTATGTGCCTTACTCATTCTCGTAAAATCGTGGCACTGGAACTCACCGCGCTATGCCGACTACCACGAATAAAATGTAAACAACCTCATTTAGAAAGTCTTTTCACGTGAGATCGGTGATTTCGCGTGGATGAAACTTTTTGCAGAAAGACAAACGCAAATTTGGATAGGTTTTTGGATTTGTCATGACTTGTTAGTCGCCATAAAGGTAATGATAACCTTGAGCTACATCTCTGTGCGAAAATCTTCTCAAACACTTAGCTAGAACCTTGGCAAATTGACCATTTACACAACCAATTCGTTTTGGCGCCGCTTTCGTTATGTAGTAAACTTTCGACCACTTTTCTGGCTAAACTTCATCGCTTGCACATTTGCTTACCAAACTCATCCACGACTGCAAAAAGTGGTGATACGGACCGAATTTTGCGGTACAGAAGCCAGGTGGACCCGTTTGACGCGCAATTTCTGAGGGATCCACTTAATGAATCTACTCGTGCTTTTGCATGTTGGACTTTCATGAAGGTAGCATGCGCCATGCAAAATTTGGGCTCAAGACATTAGCTGGAACACGCTCCACGAATTTCGTAACAGACACACACACAGACAAAGTCACATAAACACCCTTAGCCCGTTATTATAAGTCATGATACCGTTCTGTGTTCCATTCGTGACTGATGATTTCAGCAGAGCTATCAGAAAATCCTTAATACAAGCGGGCCTCAATGATTCCGTTAGAGTAAATATACCACCTTCTAATCTCAAAAAAACAACTTAGCCGCAGCCGAGCATATGACAGAATCTGCACGACCGCTGATTGTGTCATCTGCCCGTCTGGAAAAGCAGGCGACTGCATGGAAATGGGAGTGGTGTATCTCATACCTGTCAAAAATGCGGTGACCAGTACATAGGGTGCACAAGAATTAAAGAGCATTTTCTAGAAAATCCAAAATGTCCGCACCTTTGGGTGCACATCGAAGGTTATGTCATGAGAACCAGTACTTTTGAGTCACTGTAACGATGTTGTCGCACGAGTCCGAGTTAATAGCCCGCAAAACATTGGAGACCTTTGAATAGCGTCCAAATCACCAAAAATGAATCGCAATGATGAAGGCATTGCCATAAACAGTGAACTGTTCTCTTATCAAACGCTATGTCGATTCTGATACGAGATCTTCTATGACCATATAAAGGTCATTGTTGACACTAACTATCATACTCATTCATAGCGCAGCTGCAGCGCACTACTGGTCGTTTCTACATCTTGATCTGGCAAGACTGAGGTCAGGCTTTCAACATCTACTCTGCCACTCCATCACATAGTCAAACTGAACCCATTGCCAAATACGGTGTTTGGGCGGGCAGTTCTCAGAGTCTCGATCTTTCGGGAAGCCTTGAAGAAGGCGAACGGACCGCCGAAACGTTGGCTTTCGTACAATAAAGTCTTGCTACCAACCATGGTTAACAGCTTCAAAAAACTGTGTTTGCAATTTTAATCACAATGCCAAGGTTTATCGACACTCGAGCACGAAGTTTAATTAATATCTGTCAAAATCGGAAAACTTAACCACTTCTCTTTCTTGAAAAATTCTCTAAGTGTACTATATTTTACCGTTCGCCCTAATATAGAGTGACCGTCAAAAAAATGCAGACAAGAGTCGCCATACTCTTTGCATCGCTCATTTTTGGATGAAAAACAAAGATGACAGACGCTTTTAAAGGGGGAACGGAATTACCCGAGATATTCTCGCACCTCGTGGTTGTGTGTCTGCGGGATATAATTAGGCATAGCGAACTCGCTGATTCCAGATGCTCCTTGAAATTCAGCGCTAATTTCGGCTCTGCAAGAAAAGACAGCGCAAAACCTATAGCGTATTTGAAAGGTGCGCCCCAAGATAACCCCTAAATCCGCATTTTAATCGATTGAGCAGGTAGTTGCTGAACATCAGTTTTGTGATTCTATTGAATTCCCGGTTTCATGACTGATGGATGCATTACGAAAAGATCGATGCATGGGGCGGGCTTAAAATACACAAACTAGGCTCTGTACATTATGCAAATTGCGTATCTGACTGCTCATGATACCTAAGGTACGCTGCGGCAAGCTCGGGTAGGTAAGTTCCCGCACCCCTTTTAGAGAGCTACAACCCACAACTTGCGCTTTCTGGAAACCATATATTCTAGAAAATGTAAAAATCTTTTTACACAAAAATACGAAAATGGCCGCGTCACAATCTCGCGGACAACATTTTTTTCGGACAGGTAAGCATACTATCTTATGCAGTTTATCGAGGACAATGATCAGGTAGTGGTTACCCTTTAAAAACATAATTGAATTTCATTTAGAATTTTTCAAAAAAAAACTTTTAATCACTTTTTGAAGTCAAATTTCTTCACATGGAAACTATTTAGGACATCCAAACAAAGTCGTTTGGGTAAAATGGATGCTTTTTGCCACCCTCTATGCATCGGACGTCTGCTGGTGCGTTTCTTGATGGCTCTTGACAGCTCGTGCACAGAACCCCAGCTACACCTCACCAGTAACTTTGCACCGATTTGCAAGCTTCTCGGCGGACAGTCACTCTGCGAGCCTGTAGGTAGATTCATTCGAAAAAGCGTGACTTCCTTAATACGAAGTTGTGTAAATAAGTTGTGTTTGAAAAATCTTGGAGATTTTACGGATGGGGTGAAAAAGCGCAGCTTGCTTTATCAGACAGGGATATCCGACATAGCTGTACTTGAACATTAGAGGGAACGAAGCGGTAAATTATTAGAATCTGCGTGCTTTTTTGGCCTCAGAAATTCACTCGTAACGCAGCGTCCAAGCGTTTGGCAGATACCAGACACAGATTCGAATCAGCGTTATTAGAAGAGAAATATATATATAACTCAAAATTGTCAGTCTGGAGATGTGCGTTATAGTAAAGCGCGCCGCTCAACCTATGCAACTGAAATTTTGCACACAAATGTTTTCGACCGCGAATGATAGACTACTTTTTGCGGCGATTCGTTAAGTCCTTCTATAGATTTATGAATTTGTTTAAGTTATTCTAAAAAATTGAAGGCTGTTGGCATGTTTAATCACGCACTTTCCCATAGTCATGTAAAGGAAGGCGATGAAGCTCATTTTCACCTCAGGATCACGAGGATGCGGTTTCAAATCGGATGTCCCAGGATAAGTCATCCATAACTTATAGGAGGAGGGGGGGTCGCAGTGCAGGTGACCAGTGGCCCGGGCTGGACCGGAAAAGCCAGCTAGTTCTGCATAAAATGATCTAGCATCCAGCACTAAACCATTTGAGCTATTATAGAGATTTTCCAGTTGTACGCCTAGTCCTTGACCACAAAAAATGCTCACAAAGCGGCGTTCAGTAAGGGTGCCCTTCACACGGCGCTGGCAGCCGCCGCCAGCAGCCCGTAGCCGCCGCTGCCGCTTTTGCCATAGAAGCGCAAAACGAGCAAATTCTTACTGCTTGAAGTGCATCCGCCCACACTCTCCATCTTCTATGCTTTTTTTCCTATTGCCGCTAATGTGCAGACTCTCACACATTACAGAGTTATACAAGATAAGCACCGATAGCCAAAGATATGTGTGAAGTAGTACTATACCTAAAAAATAAAAAAATATAGCACACCTGCGGAAAGTGGAGACATTCAAAGTCAGAAGGAATCACACCGCGAAGAAACTTTAGCGAAATATGGTTCGATTGCGGGGGGAAGCTGAGCACCAATAAGATGACAATCTAGAGCAACCAGGACGAAAAAAGTGTGGAAGATGGAGAGCGTGAGCGGTTGCACTTAAAGCAGTAAGAATTTGATGATTTTGCGCTTCTATGACAAAAGCGGCTACGGGCTGCTGGCGGCTGCTGTGGGCTGCTACGGGCTGCTAGAGACTGCTACCGGTGCGGTTTTAAGGCACCCTACGCTCAGATACCGAATACAGATTGGAATCAGTGTTTGATGCTCAAGAAAAGCGTGGAGTTCTTCTTTGGAAAAACCACTTTGAATAAATCTTTTCTGTAAGTTTATTTTGATCCCTAATAATTTCATTAAGCTTTAAACAAATTACGTAGAATCCGTTTAAGAATGACGGGAAGCTCGATGAACAAATAATGTGTATGAATACGCTACTGCTTCGAAAGCCTTTTAAATGAATCCATATTTGGGTTCATAATGTGACATTCTATTCAAATGATAGAACTTAGGAATTTTTTTTACAAATCTCAGAAAAACATGCGAAGAGTTGAAAGCTGTTCAGTACACAAAAGCACATATGCAATTTTGCATCTGGCAATTTGTTTTGTAAGAAAAACGATTCCCGTCTCTCAAAAATGTTCAAAAAATCCGTTGTCAACATTGCATAGAATGTCTACTAAAAAAGACCTCAAAAATTTGTTAGCTAAATTCTAGAGAAATTAAACTTGCGAATCCCCAAGTTAAAGTTTTGGTCTAGTTTAGGCATTATAAACCTAGTCTTTGCACCAAACAGATCACTACTAAAAAAGCAATCTCAACTTGGCTACTAGATTCCGTTCATGGAACTTCCTTTTCCCGGTATTCGCAATAAAACGCTAACTAGTTAATTTTGATATATACAAGAAAGATGCTCTGGATGTTGGAAGGAACTGCTACGTTATAGTAAGTCGGAATGTGCCTTTCGCCCACACCACCAAAGTGCGAGAAAATCAAAAAGTTAAAGTTAGGTCGTTAATATACAAATGGCGAATTAAATGAATCGAAGCAATGCTTAAATATAAATTGATTGCAGTCTTACTTTCTCCCTACATCAATGTAAACGAAAAATGCCATGCACTTTGTTCCAACCGATCGTAAATTTTCGAAAAATAACTTATGACTGTTTTATATGCATATGCATTCTACCTTTTCTTGCATCGGATCGTTGAAGTCATCTTCTTCAGGTTGCCCCTCTTCTAATTTGTACTCTTCCTCGTAGTCCTTGTTGGTGCTCGTGTTGATGTTTTGACCATATAAGTTAGCACTGCGTCTGCAACGTGAAATTCAATATAACTCGTGCTTATGGGATCATGTCATATACTCTTCGCAAAATTACCGAGAATGCAAGGGGCTGATTTGGGATTGTTCTTAAGAGGAAGCTTCCTAACTTAGCTCGCGCTTTTGGAATAAGACACATATATTTATTTGGAGTTCAAATAGTCGAACTCTCCACCTCTTTCAAAATGCAGCCGGCCTCTTTTTTGAAGAAAGCATTTATGATATACGTAATCAGTAGTTCAAGATTACCAGTACACGACCAAAGTTGAATGACAGCCACTCATAATGAAGATATTAGGTTGTAAAATAAGTTTTAAGACACTCTAACATCTTACGGCGATAAGTCATGCAGTTCACATTTTCAGTAGGAGTTTAAAGCACCATTCGATAGAGCAAAGAAAGCCCTGTAAGATGGTCTGCAGAGTTCGCCTCAACTTTGACCCACTTTGAGTTTGCATGCAGATGTGATTTGTACTAAAGGCTCAGAAAATTGCGAAAAATTCGTATCTTCATTCGAAAAGTCCTACGAATCTAACGTACTCGTAAAAACTGCACACTACATCAGACACTCATCTGTACCCTTTCTGTACTTTTTTTCCTCATTTAGAAATCGAAAAACGAAAATCTCTTGGCTTTCACAAGAACAAAGATAAGTTGTTCTCACTCATGTGATTGTATAATACAATTTCTTAGAAGTATGACCGTAGATTTTTAGCTTTCCATAGCTTCCTCGTTTTCGGAAATTACCAAATTTAGCTTTCCCCACTCGGGCGTTTCATGCTAAGATAATATTTCTCGAAAACTAGGGCTTGTGGAAAGCTGGAAATTTACGGTTATACCTTTAAGGGATTGTATTAGGTCGTTGCAAAAACAAGGTCCGTTTTGCAAATTTTTACGGCTATAACTTTGTCCAGTCTTCATTTTTTGAATGCAATCAAAACAGTATGAAGCAGTAAACCTTTCTTAATCTGATGCGCACCTGAATTTACTGATACCGCAAACGGAAAGAAAATCATTTAAAAAAAGCGTCAAAAAACCGAAAGTTTTTCTTCTAAAAACCTCGTTTTTGAAAGATTACAGCTTCCTTCAAGTTTTGTTCCTTTGACTGCTAATCAGCTTATTTTGTAGACGCAAGCCAGTAGTATACTTCTGCTTAGAAAAGACTCCAACGAAGGAGTCCTGCGAAAAAAAAGATAGAAGTTCAAAATTGTTCACTTTTTCGAGTCTATTTGTTGCAAGCCAGAAAATCCCAAACTATGAAAATTTGAAATTTTTCATACACTGAATAGTTAAGCTTTTTTGCAAAAATTATGGGAAAGATGTCCTGACCTCAGGCGTTCAGAAATGAGCGAAGCTTAGGCGATTGCCCTACTTGTGAGAAACTTTGGACCCATAAAATGTCAGCCGCGAGTATCTTTTTCGGGGCGTCGATTTTACGGTTCAGATGTTTTTGAAAAATCTGCTCAAACATGCTATAGGTAAACAATGTTTCAAACAATACAGTATCTATGTTTCCAAAGGAACCCGTTCATTTGCGCCTGAATTGTGGCCAAGCGAATTAAAGCAACGAATTTTCGATTTTAAGTGCAGCTGTGAGAGATGCTGATGAAATTCTCACAGATGAGATGGAAGCTCAATTTCACAACTGTTAGAAAGTTCATGAAGAAAGCTTTCCAATGATATGCTAAATCCATATCGAAAAGGAATTTATGAAGGAAAAAAGTTGTTCGGAAAAATAGGCCTAGAAAAACGGACATTATTTTTGCAACAACCTAATAGTATATAATTACTTGTAGAAACAGCTTAGCTTCGGTTTCGTGAAAACTTAAATTTTCGTTTTTTCGACTTCTAAACGAAAAAAAATTCAGGAACGGTACATAAGAGTGTTTGCTGCAGTGTGTAATTTCTACGAGCGAGTTGGAGATTCGGTTTAAAACGAAGATATGAGCTCTTTTCAATTTTCGAGCCTACAGTACAACTCAAATTCTGGATGCAAACCTACAGGGGTCAAAGTTGGGGCGAACTTTTGCAGACCATCTTGTAGGGCTTGCTTTGCACTATCGAATGGTGCCCTGGATCTTTGTTGAAAATGTGAAATGCATGACCCGTTGCCGTAAGAAGTTAGAATATCTCAAGACTTTGTTACAATTCAACATAAATAGATGAAATTTAGCTCAACCTCTATTAGGCAAAACTTTTTTTACAATCTAATACATTCTATCAAGTAGTTAGGATCACTCCAAAGTCGGGCACGCGCATTTCTAGAAGGCCAGAAGTTATTACCTGTGTCTGTATGAGTTTCCTCCTATATGTCCATATGCATAGTGCATTTGCTTTTTGCCGCAGGTTCGAGCATCTTAAATGTTCGTATGCAACGAACTGACAGCAAAAGATCAGTGTAACAAACCTACCGTACAGACTTCCCGCATTGCTCCAGTATCCCATCATTAAATGGATGTTGATAAGTAGACAAAGAAAGATGGTCATAGCTAATTATGTTTTACTGCAAAAAATAATGATTTGGTAATATGGAAAGCTGAAGCATTGTAAACTATTGTCCACCGAAAAGTATGCATTGGATTTCTACATCCTTTAGCGCGATCAAACAAACGATATGACAAGTTTAAAGACTTTTTACCAAGTCGTTTCCTACAATTTAAAAACTAGCGACACTACGGGTCGCTAGCAAGTAGACCGAGTTATATACAATATTACGTCTACTAGTGACTACCAATACCTCTACATAAATTTCCTGCTCCTTTTCCGAAATTATTTTTGTAGAAAGCATTTCAAAAACTGCTCAGGAAGCGATAAACTTCACAAATCATTCAGAAAACCCTGCTATTTTGAAACCTCTCCGACAACCATGCGAGATTATAAAAGAATTTCTTCAGTTACCATGCTTTTTCTGCAAATAGCGACCTTACCAGTACACCCTGGCGTGTGTGTATGTCAAGAGGGTGGGGGGGGGAGGCGAGGGGCACCCCCCCCCCACGAGAATGGGTCGCAGAAATCTTTAAAAATTACTTAATTATGTTACAAAAATGTGCAGAGGACTCGTTTTTACTCGTAAATAATCAAAATAATCATTAAAAAATTTTAAAAATTCAAATTAGCTTTTTTCGGGGCTTACGGATAGGGCTAGCAAGAAAGGGCAGATGATTTATAGTGCTTAGGTGACCCTACAGATGGCTAGCAAGAGGGGGAGGGGGACGCAGATAATTCGTAAAGCCCAAGTGAACTTACGGAGCAAAAGCAAGTGGAGCAGAGGCAAATGACAGTAGAGCCCAGGTGACTCTACAGGTCGCTAACAAGCGAGGGCAGAGGCAGATAATTTGTAGAGCACAGATGACCTTACGAATCGCTAGCAACTGGGGGCAGATAATTTGTAGTGCCCAGGTTCCTTACAGCCGCTAGCAGGTAGGTAGGGCAGATAATATGGCCTGAGGACCTTACGGATCGCTAGCTAATGTGGGCAGATCGTAGCGCCCAGATGACTCTAGAGAACGCTAGCAAGTGGGAGCGGAAAATTCGTAGTGCTCAGATGATCCTACGGATTGCTAACAAGTGGGGGAGCGGGAATGGTAAAGAGGTGCGATTTCTCCGGCTCTCCTTAACTTAGTTACTAGCCCAGGTTAAAGGTTAAGGTGCAGATATATAGCGTCGATTGTTCTCCCATTTTCGCCATTGAGGTTTGATTACAATTTTGTACCTTGGCGATTTTCAGACAAAAGGGGTAAAGACGATGTTCAATTGAGTTTCGAAAGTAGTTTGATACAATTTTCTGGCAACAAAAGCACTCATCTTAGATTTACACCAAATTTTTGACAAATCCGCAAAGTTCATTCAGTGGCCGTAATCATCATTGCTACCTAAGGGTAAAGTGAACCTTGAGGTAGTTTATACCTCAAGGTACAATCTTAAGGCTGTTTCGTATTTATCAAAGCACCTCAAGGTTGATTCTATCTCAGCTTGCATGATGTACAGTGACGCTCATTCAGGGCATGCCATAACTCTCGCGGTGTGCAAACTTCCTTATAGTTAATCTCCCTTTTCCACTTTCGTTCTGTTGGTATAAACATTTTAAGGCCGTTCGCACGCAATGCTCGCTTTGCGTATGTTGCGCCGCTGAAGGAGCGGAAGAGAAAGTCGAAGAGAACCACTAGGTAATCACAGCTCACTCTTAAAAGACATATCAATCTCGTTTTTTGTAATTTATCCCAAGGCGGTTTTTTACGGAAATTCTATAAATCGCAATCGTAAATACTACAGTCTGCACTGTGGATCAGGCCGAGACTGACAAAATGCCCGTTCGCACTGCCAATATCTAACGTCAGGTCTGCGGTTTGCTGCAGTTCCGTCACGATTTGTCCTTCTCTTCTCATTTTCTGCCATCTCCCCGGCGCGCGGGTGCAGCGCGCACGTAGCACATACCGCAACTGTTGCGAACACGCGATTAAACTAACGTCTGCCTATACCATTGAGACGAACTATACGTAAAGTCAACTTCCACATGTCAAGACTGGAAGTGTCATGTCCCAACATGTCCTTGCATACGTTAGGACTCTATAATTTGATTTTGGGTCTTACTTCAGTAAACAATCAAATACTAAATTGAACAAATTCAAAACTTTCGATTGCCGTCATGGGACCAATGTGCCGTTTCAGACACTGGGAGTCGACGACCCCTAATCACTACTGCGGGCGACTTCCACACTTTCTATGGCCCCGGACAGACTTCGCGCGACATAATCGTCGCGATATAATCGCCAAGATTTCCATTCATTTTCATTTCACATTCAAAAATTTCGGGCTGGAAAAGTATCACAACCGAATGCAAGTAGATCGGCATGGAATGATGTTGTAACAGTTGTCTCGTCGCGATTCAGTCGCGACGATCAAATCGCGTGAAGTCTGCCCGGGGCCTATGGGTTAGCTAGCCAAGTAAAAGGCAATTGCAGTTAACTTAATGTCTCCGGTCGAATTGAATTGAGGATCTCTGCTCGCTTAGTGTATCCTAGTGTTATTGTATGAAAGGGCGCGGGTAGGTGGCATTACGACTGCCCCAAAGTTCTGCATTTACTGAAAATCCGCCGCTCGTGCGTTCTAAGGGTCTGAGATTTGAAGAATGTATGAGTTTATGGCACATACTTTCCTAACTGCTTCGGCTGCAATCGTGAGATTAAAATGAACCCTACTGCAATATAAGTTACGTAGCTACCTCAAGGTGGAATTTACCTCAAGGTATAATTTCGTATTCGTCAAAATTCGTCTCTTAAAGGCAGTGTCTCACTGAAGTTGAGGTTGCGCGGATCTTCACATATTCTATTATAGGGACCTCTAAATAGGCCACTGCAACAACTCCCACTCAATTTGACCCCCTCCACGCTGAGAAAAATTCGCTCAAAGTGGTACGCGGAGAGCGAGCTGGTACGCGCGTACGACTCCTTCGGTCTCCACCCTTACGCGTTTGAACATGTCCCTCCACTTGGCATCCACCTCCCCTCTGTTGCTGCCACTGTGGCTGAGCCTGAAGTTGGAAGGTACAACTCGTCCACGTCGCTTCTGCGGGGTCTCCAGGAAACCGGGTTTTTGGGAACTTCATGCGATTTTGAGACCATACAGTGCTAGACAGGGTCCGACAGGCTTGCAAAATGCAAAAATCTCGGCAACTAAATTTTGGTGAGACACTGCCTTTAAGGTTAAAACTACCTGTACCAACTTGATAAACACTGACGTTTTCTCAGAGAATGACATGATGTACTTGCGGTGAATTGCTTTTTTTTATATCTGCATGGTACTTACGCCAGGATACTTATGTCTTTAAAGTGTAAAGCGCTACAGTTGATGAATTGGAAGGATAGAGTCCACACATTCAGCAATTCTAGGTCTCAAGACTCTATCCGGGAAGCTATCTGCTTCTAAGCACAATTACATGAACTGGAAAAAATTGCTCTGCTGCGATGCCTACCTGCTTAAAGAATGTTATGCTCTTTCGGCATCGAACATTTTCCACATTTTGACATGCTTCATAAGTGTGATTTCGCAGGCAGTCGATAGGGATTTGCCTAGTTTATTGATGAGCTGAGAGTTGTTTCATACTGCAATCGCTGCAGCCAATGGACTGCTGCAGCGGTGGCCAATCGACTGTTGCATGAAACAATCCTTAGACAATAATAATTTTTCAAGCCCTTCTGATTGTAAGGAGGACGCGCTATGTTTCCAAATTACGGGAATATGATTTCATCAAGACATTTTAAAACTTTGAAATAAAATTTTGGAATGAAACGCTTTAATTACAATGCTTGCATTACAAGCATATACATCAGAGACAACATCTGATTATGTGAGTTGAGGTTTTTCGAAAACTCAAGACTTTTGGAAAGTTAATTAGCAAGACTCCAAAACAGTAGCTGAAAAAAGGGAAAATTGCTTCAGCTAGGCAAAAGTTTGCCCTAGCTGGCTATTGAAACTTCTCCAAAATTTTCAAATAAAAATTTTGGAAATCAGCAAAAGTTGGGCTGTTAAAAACGAAGGGTTATAAAATCCAGTGATAATCCAACAATAAGCACTCTCTCAACAAATCACACTGGTAATGCAGCAGCTGGAAAGAGAAGAAATTCTACATTAAATACATTTCAAAGCGTTTGTTCGTCTTTATGAACAGTCCCAATTGCAAATTACAAGCATTCAGCAGGCCAGCCATCCTGGCAAAATGTCAGGTGTCCCATTGCGTAATTAATCGACGCAGCTCAAAGTACAGCAGACAGAGACGGGTACAAGGTTTTGCACCCACGAGCGCCCCTCGCTCACCGGCTTATTCGTACCCACCGTGGCCTAACACGCTCATTGATGAGTACGTTTGTTTTGGCGCTCTAATCGGGCACGCTTTTCGTGGTACCAAACTGCCTCCGCGTTCTCCCTACTCGCTTGCTTAGGAGGTGTGTCCAAAAAATTTGGAAATTCCTCTTATTATTCAAAAATATATACTGATCTTTAAGTACTACTTATTAATAGAGCGAAGCAATCTCCCGAAATGGCATCTGGGCCCTCGCACCAAGTTTGGTTCTCTAAAAGTCAAAAAGTTTCAAATGTTGTCAAAGTTCTGGTCCTAAAATCGAAAATCGGTCTTTATATAGGAAAAAACAATGGTCCCACGCATACGTTACTCTCTGCATTATACAAACAAAAAAATGTAGGTAAACTAAGTTTTCCTTTTCGCCTTAAAAAAACGATGATGGTTTCCATTTGACTGTACCTTGCCTTGATAACTGAAGAATAAGTGCGTTTTGGACAGATCGCCATGATTTCCCAAAAGTATCTATTCTTATATAATATTTGGCTTAGCCACTTCTTGTATCTTCGCCTAAAAAGGATAGAAAGAGTAATAAAATTTAGACCAAATTCAGCATACATAATGTATAGGGTGGGCGTGTGTTAAAAAGCCATTTTGTTCAAGACACACGGTTGCCTCTATCGATTTATTGATTTTGCATAATTTTT